TATGGTCACAACTCGTGATCCCCGTCGCGAAAAACTACCCGACTACCCCCGACCTGACAGCTGCCTTTTCCTACATGACGCAGGTCACCGCACACAAGGACCAGGGGGCACAGAACTTTTTCGTCAACCTGGGCGAGCGCAGGCTGAAGGAGAAAAACAAGGCTGTTGCCGTCAAGCCCAACGTCAGGAAGGTGATCAACGAGCACAGTGGGGATCTGCTCGCGGCTGGAGCTCGCTTCGTTCGCCTCTTGGGCGCAGGCGGACACGGCGCCGCGTGTCTGTACGAGATCACCAACCAGCGGACGGGCACTACAAAGCGCATTGTGGTCAAGATTTCCCTGAGAGGTGACGATATGAAGAGCGAGAAGAAGGTTTTGGGCGTAAGCATTTTCTCCCAGCGACCAAACCGGTGAAATCAAGAGCCAACCAGCTGACATTCGAATCTCACACCCTGTAGTGGCTGAAGCACTCCCGGCACATCACGCAGTTGACCAGCATCGCCGAGGTTCACGAGATGCTCGGACACGAGGTGCTGGGCTTTCCCAATCAGCAACCCAAGCTGCAGGGCATGCCCTTAGACGCGGACACGGTCATGGCCGTCGCCAGGGTCGACGCCGCCCAGAGCCTGCTGATCCAGATCTTCTCCAACAGGGGCGCCCTGGACAGGATGGTCTCCATCTTGGCGTACATGCGGATCCCCGCCAGGGACAAGTTCTGCTGGCGCTTGCTGGAGTGCCGTACGTTGGCCCGCCTCTCAGGCAGTCATCCCACCTTGCCTCGCTTTCGAGCTTCCCACTAACATCTCGATGCTTTCATCCGCCTAGTCGTCCGGGGGTGCATCGCACTGTGGTCGCCAGTTAGGAGACAGGGACTGGCCCGCGGGCGACCTGTGCCGCTCTCAGCCGGGCTGCTGACCGAGCAGTTACCGCCGATGGACGAGAATATGCTGCTCAACTTGGTCCACTTTGACCTTGACGTCTACAACAGTTGGTCCAGCCCACCCCATGATTCCTCGTTGTTTTATTGGTGCTAACATACCCTGCGATCCCCAAGTCTTCTTAACGGATGACGATCAGCATCCAGTCATGCCCATGGCGCAGATTGGCGACTTCGGGACCACCAGAAACATGCACAGCGACCACTATAGAATGCAGGAGTATGTCTAGTGTCTCTTTTTTTGACGAGACGAGTGTCCTTCTGTCGAGCCAGACGAGCTGACGAGTGATTGATGAACAGCATCTACATGTGGGGTTTGCGTCACACGGGAAAGAGGGGTTTTATAACGCCTGTAAGTTTTCATTGGTCTTTATACTCCTTCGTCTCACGCGTTCGTTTGGGCATTTCCTCACACTACCCACCGTAGGAGCAATTCGCGGAAGAATGGGACCATTTCTATCGGAATCCTTGGACAGAGGCCGGGCGGCCAAGCTACAAATTCAAGCCGATATTCGGACAAGTCGCTGGCAACTACGGCATGTGGACAAACATATGGTCCATCGGACTTGTAAGTCTCCCCAGCGTCTTGTCATCACTTGGCCGTCTCTTGAAAATCACAGAACTAAATAAAAGCAAACCTCGACCAAAAAGACCATGTGGATTATCATCACGCAAAGGGCGCCGCTGCACCCCCCAGTCCCGAGAGAAATCCCCATCCTGCCCAACATGGAAGCCGACCCCAACGGCGTGGGCCGCAACACGTTCTGGACGTACGGATACCCACTGGACCAGCCTGGTCAGTCCCAGATCGGCGACGAGCTGCGCCACCTGGTGCTGCGCATGATGGCGCACGACCCGTACGACCGCCCCAGCCTCAAGGAGCTGCTCGGCGCGGCCGAGGCCGGCTGCGCGCTTGAGGACGACGACGACCCATCGCGCGAGCAGACGGACCTGGAGACGGACAAGAACATTGCAAACTTCTTCAGGCACTACTTTGGCCAGATCGACCCTCCGCCGTCGGACCCGGTCATTCCGGATCCGGCCAAGCCGCTGGCGTCGCCGCCGCCTGTGCCGGCACCGGTTTGGCATATGCCGCCACCTCCTTAGTGGTGTTGGGGGTGCTGGTGGTGATGCGCCATAGCGTAGACGGTGGGAAGGCTGCCTTTGCGGTCCTTTTGGGACAGACTGATTTTCTCGATTGTTGTTTGTTTGTGTCCTTCCTCCTTGGGGCTGTTCATTGCTCTCAATATACCCGCATGATGTCAAATTTGAGGCTTCCTTTTATTGGTCTTCGCACAGAACACACCCCAATCCCCATGTTTACCATACTGGCGGACCTCAGACCTTCCACTGCCATCCCTAATCTGTAAGACTTCCCAAATCCTCCCCCGGCTCTGATCTGCTACAGGGGGCAACGTCCAACCCAGCTTCCAGGCGGGTTGCAGCCGCCGTTACGGGTGTTGTAGCACGTGCCCGAGCATTCGCAGTACTGCTCGTTCCTATTTTTTTTTTCACGCATCGGTCATCGGTTAGCACGAAGCCACGGGGACGTCGGCTGGATCGGGGACGTTCCTACAGTTGTCGGCAGTTCTGCTGGGCGGACGCGACGCCCGCGATGCTGAGGGCGGCGGTCAGAACGGCGAAGAGCTTCATTTTGGAGTATGTGGAGGAGGTGTCTCGTAGGTTGATATGGGTGGCTTATTCCGATCCAGGTCACGAAAGGTTTGGTGTAGGGGCGGGCGGTCAGGAGAGTTGAGAGAGATTGAGGATGTAGAGAATGGCTGGGGATATATATACTTGCCTCGCGGCGCGGAACACCCCCGATACCTGATGTAAGCCTCGCTAGACATTGCACATAGGCTACCTGCCTGAACAAGACTAGAATACGGGGAGACGAAGGATCCCGTAGCCCAGGTTTGGCACGTAATTGCGGAGATGCCCTGCCATGTTCTGCGTGGCGTGGTAAGACCAAGCCGTCGATCGGATCCTTCGAGATGTGGAGGCACGACGGCTCTTATCTGTGGCGTATGCATGCAACCTGATGCTCGGCGCTTGGGGTAGCTCTTGGCAGGACTGGGAGCCGAATCCTTCGGGGAAGACGGACGAGATGGTCCGGAGTGCGAGATCCGAATCTACAGGATGCCTTTTTTTTTTCTTGTTCTTCCAAGTTCCAGTCCACGAAGGCAGCCCATGCCGCCATCCCTCTCTCCTGGGCTGGGGCTCCATTAGTGGTCGGCGTCGGCCGGCGGACACAGATCGTCTGAGCACTCACATAAGGTCAGCAATCCGGACCACTCAGAAACAGCAAAAAATATGGGCGAAAAAGGCGGGTCATACTCACGTGACGGAGGAAAAAGTTGAACAACCCAAAAGGACGCCAATTTACGTCAACGAGTTCACAAAGCCTTAGAACCGATGGGCTCTTGATCTCAACCGGTGCTAATGTTAAAGATGTCGATGCTACGTACACCGCTTCAGGGCCTCGCTATCCTTCGTCGAAGCTACTCAGCCTCGGCCGGCGGCTTTAACGTGAGTCCCCACTACTTTTTACTCGCAACGGAGCCATGATGGACTAACAGAGTCACAGAAGGCATATGTGCTCTCGAAGCCGCTTGCAGCCATGGTTGGGTCTGCCGAGGTAAGAATCTCCTCCCACAAGTTCGCTCGTTACTTTGATGCTGAAAAAAATTGTAGCTGTCACGACCCCAGGCCGTCAAGCAGATCTGGGCTTACATCAAATCTCATAATCTCCAAGACCCCGAGGACAAACGATACATTCTATGCGACAAGGTGATGCGGAGCGTCTTCAACACGGAGAGGGTTCACATGTTCACAATGAACAAACTGTTGAGCGACCACCTGCACGAGAAGGAACAGCCCTGATCTGGGAAGCAGTCGATGGACCACTGGATGTGAAATGCGTCAGGGCTGGGAGATATGGCTGAAGTGGGGGGCATGGAGATTTCTACACGCGAGTTATGGCCATGTTTCTCTGATCATGCAGGCCCAGTAGACCATACTTAGACGAACTGTTCTGTCGTTTCCTCCGGACCCGCCGCCGCCAAAGCCCACACATGGCAAGGACGACGGCCACTGAGTCCTCAACGTTCACGCCAGTGTACCCGAGCTTCCCACATCCAATATTAAAAGGAACTTGAATTACTGTATTGTCATAAACCGCATAAGTAGACGTGGAACGGGGATAGAAGGGCAAAAAGGGAAACCAAAATAAAACAACAAAACATACAACACCGAGGATTCCCCAGTGGTCACCCACCTGAGTACTAGTTCGGCCCTCACTGGTTTGACTAGGGGAGAGCGGACGGGATCCCGTATATTCCAGTGGGTATGGTCGTATGTGGTGTTTCTTTGTAGCGACCGTGTATTTGTAGCAAAGTATGATTCGACTCCCAATAAGTGTGCGCCAACGTCGTCTTCTCTAGCCTCCATCATCCCTGACATCATTTTTCTAAAAGAAAAGAAAAAAACAACATATACAACGCCGAGGATTTTCCAAGGTCACGCACCTGAGTACTAGCTCGGCCCTCATATGTTTTGGTACTGGGAGAAATTGGGAGAAATCAGGATCCAGAGCGCCCGGAAACGGGGTTTTGGCCTCTAAAAACGGACGTCTCTACTCCCCTTTGCTCCCAGCCAAGCTCTCCCCTACCGTCCAGTGGCCGTATGCTGCGCCCCACCTTATACGCCCGATTATTCCAGCCAATATGCACGAAAAATGTGCTTTTAGCGCTGCCGCTTCGCCTAATAACACGATCCGGATACGACAAGGTAGGATCGTAACGCACAACCGTGCACCTCAACACTCACCCCGTCAGCAGCTCGCCAGCTCGGAGCATAGCCCCGGCCAACAGCTTTGGACGAGTTTTAAGTTTATGACGGGCCCCTTCGACAAGCCAACCCAGCTCCGAGCGGTTTAGGTGATGAGCAGAGTGTTACGAACAGGCCTTCTGCTCCTAGGGTAGGGTACCTAAAGGCGGTATCGAGCAGTGCTGGGTTGCAGGCGGGGGGCGCTGAGCCTTTTAACGCTTATTGGCCAGTTTGCCAGCAGCCAACGGGGATGCGCGATTCCCAACTGCTTCCAGACCCGCCGAAAGTACTAAACCCAGGCCCTTACTGGTTTGACTAGGGGAGAGCGGACGGGATCCCAGTGGGTATAGTCGTATGTGGCAGCTTCTGCCACTGCTGTCATTTGATTTGCCCCGTTATTATCGCGACCAAAAATACAGCAAAGCCAGCGACACAAATCTTTGAAGCCAGCAATACAAGTTTTGAGGAAGCCGGTTTTCCCATGGGGTGACAACCTAGCACAAAGGAATGAGAACAACCTGAGACATGACCCTATCAAATACCAACCCCACCCATTTACAGCGGTTTAGAGAATGGGAGTTCAGGTTTCCCAACCGGGCCGCCCGCCGATGAACCACGTTATAATCCCTTTTTAAAATCCGTTCCATAGCGACCAGCCTGGCCGTTGCGGGCGACATTTGGGCACGCGGTAGTAGCGTGGACGTCGCAGCCGCGAACCAGCCCGAATACAAGCAGCGGCCTCCTCCGCGACAGCTAACGGACCCGCCGCCGTACCAGTGGAACCACGAGCGGCCGTACTGGAGCGAGTCGCGGTTGGCCACCGAGTACCGTACGCGCCGACACGGTCGTTGCCGCTTCCTGGGCTCGCTGGTGCCGGCGCTAGTGGCGGGCGAGCGCATATGGAGGGCGCTGATCCGCCCGGGCGACGAGGAATGGCTGCGGGACCAGAAGATCCAGGGCGCTGTCGTGTACCCGGCCGTTGGGTACGTGGCCATGGCGGTCGAAGCGGCGCGGCAGATGGCTGAGGCTGCGACGGTGGGAGCAGAGGGGGATATCGACAGGCCCAAAGTCCGGGCGTTCCATCTCCGCGACGTCGAGTTCCTGGCCGCCACGCAGCCTGGGGAGCACGAGGTGACGGAGATGGCGCTGTGCGCTCGACCCCGCCGCTGCCGGCTCGTCGTCCTCGTCGCCGGGAGAGCGGCACCAGTTCACCAACTCAATCTCCACTGACGGCCAAACCATGCGCAAAGTCTGCACTGGCTTCTTCAAGGTGGATTACGAGCCGGCAGCCCACCCACCCGCGGCCTACGGGCTGGAGGCGTCGGCCCGGCACGTCCAAGCCCGTCTGCTTGAGGCAAAAGCCATCTGCCGCCACCGCGAGAACCCAGGGAGCTTCTACATGGAGCTCGCCCGCATCGGGCTCAAGTTCGGCCCTGCGTTCCGCAACATGTCGGGCATCCGGCGTGGCAACCTGCAGAGCTACTGCGTCGTCGACGTCGTCAACCCCTCCTCGGAGCGCAACGTCGACGACGAGCACGACCAACAGAAACGCTCCTTCATCACCCATACCGCCGCCTTTGACCGCATCACCCAGACCATCGCGGCCGCCGTCGGGCTGCTCTCGCGCACGCCCGTGCCCACCGCTATGGAGGAGCTCGTCATCAACGTCGACATCCCGTACAAGGTTGGCGAGCGCCTGCACGTTTGCACCAGCGTGGTGCCCCTGATGGCTATGATTTTCTGAGCGACATCTACGCCCTTGAGGAGTCGTCGTACCGACCCGTCCTGTCGCTGCGCGGGTTCAAGGCCGCCCAGCTGGCGCCCCGCGATGCCGGTGGTGGTCTGGAGGGCGGGCATAAGATTTGTGGTCACGTCCTGTGGAGGCGGGCCTTGGATCTGTTGCCTGGTGAGCGGGGAGAGCTTGGGCGGGTTATCTTCCACCGCGCAGCTAATAATGTTGGGAGAATACAAGGAGCTGGACGAGGTGAGCATACACCATGTGGTGGTCCCTTCCGTTGCCGTTTGAGCTTTTGCACCCAGAGATGCATTTTACTAATTATGAGTCAAACTAGCTCATCCACCCGGTGTATCACAGCTCCCCTGCCTCGTCGGTCTTGGACATTGGCGTCGAGCAGGACGAAGGGAGCAAAAGCCTGCTTGCGCCATGGCACCGTACTAGAGCGCAGCTTTGCCACTTGGATTGCCAACGGCCTAGAATATTGTCCCTCACGCCCTTCGGAGGACGGCTCAGCAAGGCCACCTGATGAAGACCAACACTTTGACGTCGTCATTGTCCGCAGCTTGCCCCAGACAATGCAGCTCGGCGACACGTTGGTCGAGACCATCCTGGGCAAGCTGAACAAGCAAACCCCTCTGGGCCCCGTGTGCTTCGCAACAGCAAACGCCAGGGCACTAGGAGGAACCTTAGCCAGTGCTACGGCCATCCAACTTCTATTCACAATTCCAGCAAGCTCGGCGGCCGGGAAAGGTCTCGTGGTTGTCCGCCTGCTTCAAGGCCATCATGAGCCCCGCCGACACAAAGGGCCTGTCGTCGTACCCGCTCTGGAGCCAGGTCGACAAGCCAGGCGCGCTTTTTGTCGACGTCGGGGGAAACCACGGCTACGGCGCCCTGGCCATTGCCAAAGCCACCAAGAACCTTCGCTTCGTGGTCGGAGATCTCCCCAGCACCATTGAGCGTGCCCAGAAGCAGGAGGTGCCGCCCGACGGCGTCCTAGCCGACCCCGAGGCAGGCCACCGCCTAGAGCTCAAGTCCTACGACATCTTCTCCGGGCCCCAGTTATCACACTCTTTCCTTCAAACCTCCTAAGAATTTTGGTAACTACGTTCGATGGCATTTACAAAATCGAACCGGTCCGGAACAATCTTCTCCTTCTCCCGAACAAGCTCACAAAGCCGACCTTCCGGCCAAAACCCCGGCGCCCCTAGCGCCTACGCGCCCGCCCCAGTTTCCCCAGCGCGGATAGGCAAGTCCAACGCACGTGCGAGCAGTTTTTCGGTGGGTACGCCGCACCGAGGGGCGCGTGACATCCACGTGGCTATGTTTCCCGATAATCGCCAGCCACGCCACGACACGAAGACACCAACCTAGTTCGATAGCGGCCCCCCGGCCAAGCTAGGTACATTAGTGGTTAGTATCGGGGCAGGATGCACACGACACGGCGACGATTGGAGAATTAAAATTGGTAGTGAGGGTGGGAGATTTGGCCGCACGGACGGGCCCGACCCGGCGATGACCGGCGATGATAGGGACCAATGGGCTGCGGCTGGGCTGAAAGGGAATTTGGTGGTAAATCGCGGTGTCGTGGGCCCGCGCGGGCTCTTCTTAGTCGACGCCACAACACCATCCCCTGTATCGACAAAAAATTCGCCGCTCTATGCTGCCGGATACATATATACATGTACGATTCTTCCACTTTGACAGCCCTGAAGCCATGGCACTTGTAAGTTACAGCTCAATACGAATCCATAGGCCCGACCTCTCCCGCCGTGCTCAGCTCCCCAATCAAGACGTCTTGTTTCTAGTGACGAGTAGTTGAGTACAACACCTCGGCCAGATTCATATGGCGCACCAACCCCCATGGAACCTGCAATATATGCCGCCGAGAATCGAGCAAGGAACCGACTTTGAGCTCGAGCTATTCGAGGGGGCCCCGTATGATCCGGATGTCCCGCCCGGATCCAGGCCCACACCGGCTCCCGGACATGTGTCAGTGACCGGTTCCAGCGACGGCTACGATGCCGGGACAATGGAATCCGCTCCATTTACCGCATCATCCACATTCAGGCCGGCGTATCCGGCTGGTTTTTCCATGCAGCAAGATCCAATGTCAAACAACATATGGAATCCTACCAGTCCGAGCCCACCAACCCAACCAAGCCAATTCCACGGATACGGGTTGTCCACCTGGATGCGCGATGCCAATTGGCAAGTCTCCAACGTGTCCTCCCTCTCGGGGTCCCACTCGCTTGTCGCTGCCCAGGCTGCTGCTCTTCAACCAGGACCTCTTGTCCTTCGGTCCTCACCTGGGTCCAGATCGGCGATTGCAACTTACCCTTACCAAGCGTTTGGGATGGCCAGCGACACGGCACCGGCAGTACCCCAGCAGCCCCACTCGCAGGCCGCCAGCGGATCAACACCCAGTGCTTTCTTCCGGCGGCAGTTTCAACGCTTGAGGCATCCCGCTTCCCAGGACAGTGAATCCTGTTGGCGATGTAAAAGTGATCATAAGAAGGTGCGTGCCTTTGCTGAGGGATGTAGGCTAGCAATATTGATGCTCATATTCCATATCCATAGTGCGAACCTGGGACCCCTTGTCCACGGTGCGCGACCGCGCCTTCTCCCGGAAAGTCACCAATTCCCTGCCGCCGCGGGCGGGCTTGCGATGCGGCAGCAGAAATACCATTTCTCTGCCACATGCAGCAAGGTGCGCCGCACCTACGAGTAGAATCGCTGCCACCCGACTTTCAAGATGCGGCCAATCATCTCAGCCAGGCAAGGCAACGACGACGTCAAATTGCCAGCCAAATTAAGGGCTGCGAGCCGGAGGCGGGAAGCCAGTACGGTGTCTTCTGCAGAGTTGTCAACACCGAGGTCCCAAATATCAGATGCTTCAACCCCTTTGTGGACCTGGCGATTACCCTCCTCATACTGCCCTACGACAACCTCATTGCTAACATTGTGTGGGAGCTGGAGGACAACCAAGAGGCTGCTCAACTGACGGGCGTTGGATCTGTGGAGGATCTGGTTGCTCTCCTCGAGGCCGCCTGTCTCTGTGAGGCGCAAACGGGCCATCAGGACCAAAGAAGACGTCTAGTCTACAATTCAATCCTCTGCCTGCAGCACTCCATGGAAGCATTGCGACTCTCGGCCCATGGCCTGTTGGCCGCCGACGCCCATGCCGGCTGCCATCAGGCCAACCAATGCATATCCCCCGCCTTCCACGGTCTCACGAGGTACGCTCTCCGATACGCTGAGGCGCTCAACACTACGCTCTTCCACAAGCGCAGGGGCAAGCACAGCGACTGGCTTCTGGCATTTTACAGCCTGTGTCTCCAAGGACACGTCCGTCGCGCGTTGGTGTCCTTGGAGAAACGCCTGCAATCCGCCGAGGTGTCCGCCGGTCGCATGGAGGCTGGGGGCTTCGCGCGGCCTCTCTGCAGCGCCAACTACCTGCAAACAGCGGTTTGTCTTTTCGAACAAATCTCAATGCAGAATAGGGGCAAATTGGCCAAGCAGATCCGAGACTCGCGGCCCAAACCTTCGGTATATCTCCAACAACCGCCCCACCCGTCACGGCCCGGCGGCGAGAGCGGCAGCAGCAGCAGTTGGCAGAAGTGGCGTGA